GCTTTTTTAACCAAAACACAAATACATAACTTTTCCAAAATCGGATTAAAAAAAACAATGGATATCCAACTAATGTAATTAAATTCTATATAAAATCATTAAGTTAATTGCTTGTTATAGCTTAATTAAAAATTTCTTTTTTATTTAAATTTATATTTGTACTATGTGCAAATCCAATACGGTTAAATCCGTGGCTAAAAATCTTCTAATATTTAATAGACAATTTTTTTAAATCATTTTTTTTTAATAATTGTTAATAATTTCTCCAAAAATCATAAAAATAAAATGTTTTAATTTAAATTCTAATTTTAATTTATTATTAACTTTCAATTATCCATTATAATATAATTACCTTGGGCACATCCAGTTTCGGGCTAATACAAAGTAACTGACAAATAAAATGCAGTTTTATACTTCAGTATGAACGTGCCATAATATACACTCTATAACAAAAAAATCGACGCACCAAGAGGCAATCATCCGATTGCTTTGAAATTTCGTATGCATGAATGTTTTGAACAAATATGGCTGGAATGATGCCGACTGGGGACGTATAGTCTTTAGCGACCAATCCCGCTTCCAACTGTGTCCTGACGATCATCGAAGACGTGTTTGGAGACGCACAGGGCAGAGGGGGGATCCTGCCTTCACTATTGCACGCCACACCGGCCCTCAACAAGGCATTATGGTCTGGGGTGCCATTTCCTTTGACAGCCGGACCCCTTTGGTCGTCATTAGAGGTACACTTACTGCACAGCGGTACGTCGACGACATCCTAAGACCTGTTTTGCTACCGTTCCTTTTGCAGCGCCCTGGGCTGGTTTTTCAGCAGGACAATGCCAGACCACATACGGCACGTGTTGCTATGAACTGTCTGCAAGCTTGTCAAACTCTTCCTTGGCCTGCCAGATCACCAGATCTCTCTCCCATCGAGCATGTCTGGGATATGATGGGAAGGCGATTGCATCTGGCACGGAATGTTGATGACCTCGTTCGACAATTGGATCGGATTTGGCAGGAAATACCGCAAGAGACCATCCGGGAGCTTTATCGGTCTATGCCACCCCATTGTGGCAGCTTGTATCCAGGCTATAGGCGGGTCAACACCTTATTGAACTTGTTACTGTAACTATACAATAAATTATTCAATTGTTCTGAAATTTTAATGATTTACTATTCTGTACATTGTCTTCCTGTCCACCCAATTTTCGTTTTAATCGGACAATTCCTTCTTGGTGCGTCGATTTTTTTGTTATAGAGTGTACATCCTACTATCCTCTATTTACGCTTTTATTTTCATATTTTGTAATTTAACAAACTAGTTACAAAAATATTTTGAATCATTTTTGAAAGATGCCGGTAAATGGAAGCACATTTTGTGTTTTATTCTGTATTTTTATGTTTTATTTCCTTTTTTTTGCTCGATAAGATTTATTTTGGAATTCCTTGCGCGATATGTTTTATTTTCGTTTCAAATTTTTTGATGCTCCTCACACTATTTTATTGATATATCTTACTTTAGCTAATATTAATGCAATATTAGAAAGCACTATTTTTTGCAGAGAAATAATCGTGACAGTTGACGGCGAGACTATATCTTTTTCTTGTATTGTTTTCCAGTCTTTTGATTTCGTTTTAATTTTTTTTTAAATTGAAAGACAATTTATTTAACAATAATTTTTCTTCTCCTTTTTAAAAATATTTTTTCCATGTTTACTTCGTTTTTTTAACTTCGTCTCTAGCTTCTATTTTTAACTAACCTTCATATTTTTAACTAACCTTTGTATTAACTAACCTTTATGTTTTTAATTTCGTTCCTAGGGGTTGCCCCCATTGACTTCAAAATGATATCGTAGGTACATGATTTTTCACAAGCAATTTTGATTTTGGTCAATGTCATTTTCTTAGTGCGGAAAGGCCATCTAATGTTGTTATCATTAAAACGAAATCGATGAATAAAATTAAAATTATACCTCAATAAAAATGACCTTTAATATAATTATGTGTAAAAACAAATTTAACAGTTATGAATGATGGAACTATTTTAAATAAATAAGCAATTACGCTTTTCATTTAAGTTTGCATTTAATTTGATGTCATAAAAATTAGTTAGCTTTAGAAAATGAGAAGAGGTTTGTTTCTTTGAAATGATCAGTTTTTTTTTTTTAATAACTTTTTTTTCTAATTTAACTTTTAACTCTAAAAATAAATCAATGGTAGCATCGTCTTTAGTTCACTTTGACTTTTGTCTGTCGCTTTCAGAGATCGTCAAGAAAATGAAGAAAAAAAATCACTAAATAAGAGCAACACACAGGACCTGATTATCACCTAGGCCAAATAGGCAAGGGCCTAGGGCCCACAATCTCTTAGGAGCCTCAAAAATTAGTGAAAAGTTTAATGAAAGGTGGGATAACTTTGTGTTGGTTTAAGTACTAATTAAGAAATGATTGCAGCTTACAATAAAAGAATAATTCAGCGAATCAGTGACTTTTTGCAAAATTCTTATCGATTCCCAGACCTCAGTTCTTTTTTAAATTTTCCATTCCACCTACATCAATCATACGGAAAACATTTTGCAATTTATATATATAATTTTTTTGAAGAAAAAAATAATAGTGACTGGACTAGATCAATTTAGTAGTCAGACGTTTGGAAGTTTATTTGAAAAGATTTTTTTTTTTAAAAAGTGAATAATCTATGAACAGAAGAGAAAATTATTAAAAATTATGAGGATTAAACAAAACTTGAAGATTTAAGTTATATTATTTAAAACCAATTTCTGGTGGTCGGGATAATTTTTTTTATAACACTAGAAAAATCAAATTTATTGATTAAAAAATTTATATTTGGATCAAAAAATGGAGAAAAACTTTGATCAATCTTTTTTTTTTTCTTTGAAAGCTATTGATAAAAATTTAGGTTTCAAAATGATTTGTTGTAGTTTTTCTAAAGCAATACAGAGGTTCAATTTTCATAAAAATAAGTATTTTCTCCATTTTTTTAAAATAACAAATACGAAGGGTTGATGGAAGGAAATTTTTCAATATAGGAATTTCTATTTCTAAGATGCATTATAAAGGTAAAAATAACAAATTCTTATGCCACTTCAACGAAACTAAAAAAAAAAAAATACTTTAGATTTATGAAGAAAAATAACTTAAAGACAGCAAAGCAACATTTTTAATGTAAATTAGGCCAGTTTTTGTAGATGATATGATAAGATTAACTTTGCTAATTAAAAGAGATGAATAAATACATACAAGCAAGCTAAACATTTGACTTGCGTGGGTGGTGGATCCTGTATACAACTAAAGTAGATCCTATAGCAAGGGTAGACCAATTGAAACCAAGTGTCAAACCTGAAACCGACAATGGGAAAGAAGAAGTACTCAAGCACATCCAGAATATGAATAATATTGTAGAATGTAAGCAGGCTTTTTACAGACAAAACTCTTAAACTAAGTATGGCCACCACAAAAATAAATATATAAATAAAAATTTTAAATTTTAAGTAAATTTTAAAAAATGAAGAATTTAGCAATTCTAGTATTTAAATCCAATATCTTTATATAATTGGCATTCTTTTTATGGATATATATTCGTACCCTTAGTTCGGTGTTAGAGGCGGCTTTGTATACGTAACTAAAGATAGTCATTATCCAGAGTGGAAGAGAGAACTTAAACTATTTTCGTTAATTTTTAAAATATTAAAATGAAAATCTGTGTGCGGCACAAGATTGCACCTGGAAATGTTGATGTAACTTAAAAGCATACTTTCCTAAGGGGCAAAGCTGAACCGTTTAAGATATCTAGGAAACTATAAGCTAAGTCAGCCGGAAGAAACGTAAAATTTAAATTGTTTCGCAATTTACTACTACATTGTTTTTGTCACTATACATTGTAAAGTCACTGCATTGTGTATTTGCCGACTTTTCACTTAGTATTTATAACTCCTATGTTTATAACGATAAACTCCAGGTTTAAGTTTTTTTTTTTTTTAAATAATTAATCAAAATTATCTATAAGAAGAATAAAAAAATTTTTAAATTATTTTGCCTGAAACTCTGGGATATTAAGAGAGTCACTTAAAAGATGATAATTTCTTTAAAATTCGAGTTTGTTGAAGAGGGAGTTTGAGGACAGAAAGTAAAGCTTTTAAACCTCAGGATACTTAAAATGCATGCTAAAAAAGTAAATTAAAATTTCTGTGAGGTATATCATTTAAAAGTTTTTTTTTTTTTTTTCCTTTCATACTTATGACTAAAAAAGATAAAAATAGAATTTCTTCCAAGACATTTCTGTGGGAGATAAAAATATTTAAAATTATTATTATTTTTTTTCTTTTCAAATCGCAATTTCATTCTGCTAAGAAAAAAAAGAATTAGATGGAGAAAGAAGAAAAACTAGTTATTAAGGAAGAATTTGGAAAAATTTCAGGAATTTTAGATGTTTATTTACTTCTTTATCGTTTATTTATTAATTTTAATTTTATTTAGAACTGATCAAAAAGACATTTTGGGTAGTAGCCGGACGATCTACGTTCGGTTGCTGTTGTTGTTGTAGTCCATTTACGTCGCACCAGAGCTGCACAATGGGCTATTGGCGACGGTGTGGGAAACATCCCTGAGGATGATCCGAAGACATGCCATCACAATTTTGATCCTCTGCAGAGGGGATGGCACCCCCGCTTCGGTAGCCCGACGACCTGCACGCGAAGTCGAGCACTTTACGGTAGAACAGTTTAACGAGGACCAATACCGCACACTCTCAGTCCCTACGCAGACTGATCCAAGTGGTCACCAACCCGCACACTGACCGCAGCCAGTGATGCTTGACTTCGGTGATCTGCTGGGAACCGTGTCTTAACGATCAGACCACTGCGGGACTGCAGATGAAGGATAAAAAAATATTTGGAGATAATTAAAAATACAAATTTAACCATGCGAGTTATATGCAAGCGTTAGCTTTTCTGAAATTTTACTGTTCGTAATTGTAAAAAGTTCACTTTTTCAGTTCAGATTAAACGGTTGAAACTATTGATTGGGATCTGATATATAAGAAGAGTCGACATTTCGTTCGTATAAAGCATGCTCCTTGAAAAAATGGGAGAAAACAAATAACTCACTTAATAGACTCAATTGCAAGGCTACAACTCTGCATCTTTTAAATAATAAATATTATCTTTGGTACATTTATTGAAGTCTTCAATCATTGTGTGTAGTCATTTCTGATTTATGTGCTAATTTTACTCAATAGCTTTATGCTTTCAATCTTCTAAACGATGTCTGATACTGGTGCATTTGGCAAAATTTTACCAAACTTAAAAGTGACAATTGGTGATGAATTGTCTAACTCAGATAATAGTTTAGAAGCCGGAGAAATAACTGAAGTTGAGAATGTGAAAGAAGGCGATGAAATATCCAAAACTGAAATTATTCGAAAATGGATGGATACTTTGCAGGTAAATTATTTTTAAAATTAGTTGTCTTGAAATTTATAACAACAGAAAATATGCTATTATTTTTTAATCACTGCAAAAGTATGGCATGTATTTATTAATTGTTTAAGTAACTACCACTAATCATGTTACTGTGCCGAAAATAAAAAAACACTCTTATCTAATGCTTTACTGATGAAATATTTAAAAAAAGTTCTGAATGCTTGATAACATTTCCGTATTAATATCTACATTGAAGTGCGGAGATTTCCGCATCGTGATCTGTGGCAGAATAATCGCCAACTCTTGGAAACTTCCGTGCAGGGGCCCGCGAGAAACTTAAAAAAACATCGAAAGGAACTAACTCAAAAGTTATAACTCGTCGCCACCACAGGCAAACATCTGGACGTTTTTTTAAATTTGCAAGTTTAAAATCTATTTGGCACCTTGACGATTGTAGTTGGTGCGGCAGATCATAATGCGGAAATATCCCCAAATTAGTTATAAAGTTTCGGCCATAAATGATCAGTTGCATGCAAGAAATTGAAAAAGTATCTAAGAAGGTGACAAACATTACTCATTTGTTAGATATAACAATGTTCTCGATGAGCATTTTTAGAAGGCAGCCTGTCCTTGGATCCCTATAAATGTGCCTTTATTATAAAAATAAGCAGCCATTCCTTTAAAATACTGCCTTTTATTCATATTCCATTTTTAAAATATTTAACTACAGTTAGACCTCCAGGAAAAACTACCTCTATTTAGCGACCACCTCTATTTATGACCACTTTTAGGAGGCAAAGAATTTTTTCCATAGACTGCGTTGAAGAAAACCTTTAGGAGAGTCCATTAAAACTTCTCCTAGCGACTAGAAAAACATTTGTACCAAATGCAAAAAAGATCAAATAAGGAAACACAAAAAATATTGTGTAAGGTTCTTATTTAGAGAGCTAGTTTTGACGATACAACCTCATGTTGCAGTCAGGGTTCACTAATGATTATGCTATCAATGATTTACTCTAAGAGTTGAAAGCTAAATTAGAAAAAAAATTTATTTTAATAAGAACAAGCATCTGGAACCTCTTCTCACTTTTTAAAGCTAACTAATTTTTTATGATATAAAATTAAATGCAAACTTAAACAAAAAGCATAGTTATTTATTTAAAATAGCGTTATCATTTATAATTGGTCAATTTATTTTTACACATAATTATATCAACTAGGATCATTTTTTATGCCACAGGTCCTGGGTTCGATCTTCAGGCCAGGCAAGGCTGACTCAGCCTTTCATCCCTTCAGTGTGTCGATAAATGAGTACCAAGCATGCTTGGAAACTAAACACTGCGGGTTCTGCATTCGGCTGACCACCTAAACCGGAACATCTGCTCCTGCACCCCAGAGCCCTAGGTCAAGGAAACTGAGATTGGAACATTAGGCCTTGGCCCTCTATGGGCTAACATGCCACTGAGTTTAGTTTAGGTTAGGATCATTTTCATAGATGCTTAATTTTATTTATCAACCTGTTTTTTCATGATGCCAAAAGAAGTGGCATTTACACACCAAGAAAATGACACTGACTAAAATTAATATCATTTTCAAAAAAATCATGTACCTTCAATCACAATTTTGAATGGAACGATTTCAATAGAAATAACCTCTAAAAGCAACCAGCCTCCATCAACGACCATTTTACTATGGAACTGAGAGTGGTCGCTCCCGAGAGGTTTCACTGAATGGAAATAATGTGTAATTGTGCAGGGGTCTGTCCAGGCCGAATTTACTACCGTTTAGCGGTACCTTCACAAATTCAACTTCAGGAAAAACGGTAGTTTCACAAATTCAATTTAAGGAAAAACGGTAGTTGCACAAAATACTTTTTCTTAAAATTTTATTTTTGTATCCCTTAAGAAACGATAAATCCCTATTTTTGTGTTGATTTTTTAATATAATTTTTAATCTTTCACAAATTATGTCTAAATTTTCACAAAATAGGTACCTCTCAGAAAAACCTAGACAGACCCCTGTTGTGTATAAAGTTTGAAAGCTAGAAGTCACACTTATTTTTACAGAGAGAATCATGCAAAGTTTTCATAATATCTTTGCTTGTGATCTCCGAGATCTGTGTGCAGTGTGACGTCATGAGCAGGAAAATCGTAGCTTCAGCTCTAGGAGAGAAATGAACCAACCCCTATCTCTTTTCTTTAGTCCTGGGTTGCTACTGTTCCAACCATTTTTAAACTAGTAATTTTCCTACAAAAAGAAAACCCAGTTTCATATTATTATTTGAGTAAGGTGTATACTGAAAAAAAGAAAAAATTCACTCAAATACAATTTTTAATGTTTTGAATTTTAACTTTTCCCAAACTTTTGGCTGCAGTATCTTTTGTCTAATACCATAAAATAAGTTTACTGACATATTTTTAAGAGCTTGTTATGTTATAAAGTCCATAATGCATTGTAAATGAATTCTCTTTAGTTGCTGTTACACTTGTTTAATTTTCTTTTCCAGAATCCAAAGGTTTACAGCACTAAATTAGGTGGCTTTCAAACTGGCCTTGATTTGTCATCTGAGGTAATCAATTATTATTATTATTTTTCAGAAAAGTTTTAAGATTTGTCAAATATCCTTTCAGTAGTTTTAATAAACAGTGTATTAAATTTAGCCAATCCAATGAGGTAGTTATTAGGTAATTACTTAAAAGCATGATTTAAAATTTGCATGTCGTAATAAAATTTGAAATTTGTAAAACCATAAAGGAATGCATCGCAAAAATTGCTGAATAAATTATTGAAAAAAACTTGGATTTACGATGAAATGAGCAAAAACAAAGCATGTCAAAAAGTGCTTTTTTAAATGTGCAATTTAAAACTCTCTTGTCATAAGAATATCATAGTGAAAATACGGGTTTTTAAAAATCATGTGGGAAAGCGTAGCAATAACTCCCTTTAAGGAAAAAACATTCAGATTTACGATGAAAGTGGCACATATAAAAGCATGTTAAAAAGTGATGAATTAAACCCCTGATTCGTTATGTCATAAGAATTGTATTGATATTTTAAAAATCTATGGGAATCAGTAGCTAGAAGTGTAAAAGAAAAAAGGAAGAACAAGCTTCACTTTGATTTCCGAATGTAATCAATAAAATATAAAGCAAGTCAAAAAATGATTACTCAAATTTGAATTATGCACTTCATGTTGCATCAAAAATATCTGGTTTTTTAAAATCATGCAGCTATAACCTTTAAAAGAACAATCCAGAAACAACATGCAGTCAACTCTGCATAAAGCATTAATATTAGATTTTGCCAACTCTATTTATTTAAACGGGTTATTTTATTAAATGGGCATTATTCTATCTTAAATGCTAAGTTTTTACAAAATTTTTTTTTCTAGTGATATCTAATGCACACTATAATGTTTTGATTAAGTAAACTCAATTTTATGATCAGTGAACAATTCTGGGGTCTGCGCTAAGCATTCGCCATCTTGCCAAATGCGATAAAATCGTAGATTTGGGTGATAAAAGTGTGTTTTGGCCAAAGTATTGGCGAATGATTTTTTCCCCTGGAATGAAAAATATATGTTTAACTCGACCCTCAAAATTACATAAAAATAAATTTTTCTAAACAAATGAGTTTTTTTTTTCTTTTCGATTACAGTAATTTTGGATCGATGCGCCACATAACCAATTGGAATTTAATCACAAAAAAATTTGAGATTTGCATTTGGTGAAGACTTTCAAAAATTGGCAAATACTGTTGATATTTGGCTAATTTACTGGCTAATAATCTGAAATCCTTAGTGCGGGCCCGGAATTATAATTAAAGCTGTCAATGTTAGTATCAAAAAATATAAATGTTGTTTGAAGTAACATAAAAAAAATTATTGCTAATGAAAAGTACTGTAGAAAAAAGGTACTATAATGCCTGTTTAATTCGTCAATTCATCAAAATTCGATTTTTTTTTTCTTTCTTTTTCTACTGTGACGTCCATGGCTTGCATATTTCTTTCGAATGCTTTCACATATTTTTTTTAAATGTTGAAGCTTGAGAAATGCCAAATTGATTTCTTTTTTCAGTTTGGGATTTTTTGAAACTTAATGTTTCTATGACTTCCATCTTTTGAGTTAACATAAGTTATTCCTTGTCACTGACCAACTCAGAATTATTCACTGGAGTAAGCCATTATTATTCTACTTTAGAGAATGATGCACTGTACAATTGTGTGTATCTACTGGTTTTTTAAATATTTTCTCATCAAAACTAATACAGCGGGAGGGTACTGCAAGTCTTGACTGTGAAACAGATACTATTTTATATTCTTAAATCATGAGTGACTGAAGTAAGACAAAGATGTGTAAAACTTCCTTAGTTCTTATTAATTCTTAAACTAAGGCAACAAATGAACAGAAAGTCTTAAAGTGAACACTCATTGTATTCTCTTCTTCTTAACTGAGGAACATAAATACCATTCCAGCTGGTCAAACATTTCTTAAAAATATTTTTTTTTCTTTCATTTTAGTACCTCTTCTTATGCAATTAAGCAAGGACTTGAAACATCAAATAACTATTTTAATGAGGAAATTTAACATTAGTTTCATATAAAATGATTTGGTTCTGTTAAATTTTATTGGTATAAGCGGGTTATTCGAATATCTGATATGCAATTAAGAGGGGACAACTGTAGATTTACAATAAAATCTGTGCAAGTGTATCAAAAAGTGATAACTCAAATGTGTGGTTCAAATTGTTTTAATTTTACAAAAAAAAAACCTGTTCAAAAGCTCTAAATGGTTGCATATCAGCAATCTGTGTGCCACAGGTTGCGCATCCCTACTGAATCTTCTGTCATGCACTTTTTTTTGGAAAATTGCATTTAGATTTTAGTTTTTAATAATAATTTAATTTTTAAAAGTATTCTGAAGTGTCTATTTTTGAATTGCAACTCAGAAATCTTACAAATTTCTTTGTTGGAATTTGCAAAATCGGTGTATTAATGGCAAAATCATGATTTGTGTTGTGTACCAAACAGTTTATTAAAGCCTCATCCAAATCTTCTGTCTTGCATTTTGATTTTTATTCTTTAAAAGCTTTTTTAAGTTTCTCTATTTTTGAATTTCGTTTGTTCTGTGAAAGAAACTACAATCATACTTATTGCGAATGTGCACATTTTTATGCCATTATCCAACTGATGTAAAATTTTAATTTTTTTCTTTTTTTTCTTTTGCTTTGTATTTGAACATTTTATGTCTTTTTTTTTTTAACGAAACAAATTAGTGATAGATTTTTTTAAAAAAGAAATCTAGATATCCAGAAACTTATGACTGTCATGGATATCTAGTACCATTTTTTATTTGAATAACTCACTTAATTGTTATTTAATGAAAAAATAAAAAATTTTAATTATAGGTGTTGATTAAGAAGTTGGAGAAAAGAGCTGAAAGATTTGGATTAGATGAAAACAGTAGAAACCAAATCACCCAACTTGAAATAGATGAGCTATACAAAAGGCAAATTAAATATTTTGTTTTGTTATTCTTTTGTTTTTAATTTATTAATTTTGTTTTTATTAGGTTTGTTATGCTTTTTTTAATTTAGGGCTTGTAAAAAGTGTTTTATTTTCTATCTTTATAAAAAAGATTTTTTTTCTTCGCTGTGTCAATTGTTGTTCTAAATTACAAAAAATGCATGATTTTCACAAGATTCTCTGCAATATTTATCAGAAACTAGTTATTTTATTATGATTATGTGCAATTTTTGAAAATGTTTTTGAATTTTATTGAATTTATGTTTTGAAAATAAGTACTACTTAAAAGGATAGAAAAAATAATTTTTATTACTGCACAGATCCTAATTATGTTTTTTTTTTTAAATTTTATTTGGAAAGTGATTAAAAATATTTTCTGAGTGCTTAAAAAGTACTTAAAAGGTGCTAATTATTTGTTGAAGAATCTGGCTACATACTCTGTTGTAGATTACTATTAACTTTTATCTTTTTGCCTTTATATTCATATCGCCTGTATATTCTTTACTTTCTTATTCTTTTATAGTTTTGGATATGATCCTACAAATTTATCAGGTAAGTCATATTTTCTTTCCCTTTTTTATTTTAAATTCTTATTAGAAAATTATAATATATTTACTTTTGCAATATTTCTTTGCTTAAAACCTTTTATATATATATATACAATCAATAGCTTTTGCAATCTAATGTTGGTACCATGTATATATCTAATAAAAAATGCTTAAACCACAGTGTATATAATGAATAATTTACCCAACTAGCTTAATTATTAACTTAAACTGTATTTGTTGTGTTGTCAGTTTATTTTAAAAGTAGCTCAAAGGAAAAATAGAAAATATCAGATCATTGAAGACTTGAAATAACAAAAATATGTGTTAAAATAATATTGCAATTGAACTGAATTTAATTGTTAATGTCACACATAAGCTAAGCTAAAAGGCTCTAGATAATGATCTCAGATCCAATCCTTAGTGCATTGTATGTTACACCAGTTCTCAAAAGTTATTGTTTGTAAAAATCATCTGGTTTCTACATCGTGTTTTATAACCACCCAACCATGTGTGGAATTTTTCTGGCTCTAAGCTTTTATCACAGGGTGTCAAACTCCAATTCGAACAATTGAAGATGAAAATGTTTTTCAGTATGCTGAGTAAATGATTTAAATGCTTTATAGGTATAGTAAGAAATAAAAATTTTAGAGAATACATATTTTTAATGATTATTCCCTTAAACTCATTGTCCTTTATGCCAGTGTTTGTTTCACATTGAAGTTCCTTTTTTTTTCCCTTCAAAATTAGTTGAAAAATAGGTATTTAGCAATTTGGTATTATTTACTCAATTTTTTTTTCACTCTGTTATTTGCTTTGAAAATTTATTTTCCCTTGCTAAAGATTAGCTATTCCACATTTTGACTATTGAATTATTTATTATTAAGAAAGTATAAATGCTATCGTAACTCATAATTATTCTAAGAGAATTCTAGGGAAATCAATGTTAGTTTACTCAAATTGTCTCCCCATTCATTAAATTATGTCCATCTATCTACATTCAAATTATCCTATTGCTTTAACCAAAAAAAAGTTTCAATTAAACTGAAAACTTAACATTGGTTTAACAGTAGGAAATTTTAGAGAAATTAATGTTAGTTCATTCAAATTATCCTGTTGCTTTTGAATATTTTTTTTCTTAAAAGAATTGTTTCAATTTTTATAACAATAAGTAATGTTATCCTATAAAGTATATTCGTACAGTAGAACATTGAGCGATTGTTCTTAATAGGATCATTCAATAGATAGGGAAAACAATGAATGTAGATCAACATAAAATGTCAAATAATGACTTGAAAATGTTTGAAAAATAATTAAAAGGAAATTAATAAATTCACAATATGTACAAACAATTTTATTTGAAAAATTATGTTCTTACTGCAAAAATGTTAGCGGTAACGATGAATATACACATTTATTTACTTAAACAAAGTAGATATTTTGCTTTGAACATGCCCTTTTCTTCTCAGAACAAACTAGTAATTGTGGACATTTGTAACAGATGAGCTGTTCATCGTCTGTTTGGTTCATGCTCCTTGTTGTTTCAAAGGCTTTGTGACTCTGTTACGCTGCCTTCATCAGCACTTCTTCAGCTTCAGCTATCATTTCTTGAAATTCATTTCTTAAGATTCATTCATTTTCCTCAGATCAAACATTAAACATGATGTTTAAGCGATAAGCTTTCAATCTAAGAAATCCTCACTTTCTTCTTTATTGACATCAAGAGTTACTGTTTTTATTCTGAAAATGAAATAACTGGGCTTTTTTTTAAGCCAATGGAATTTCTGAACGATTTACGTGAAACTCTGCCAGTTATAAAAATGATCTAAAGGATTATTAAAGGATAACTTTTTATGAATAACATTTGTGAGGGGAACAATAAAGCGAGATGATACATGGGAAAAAGAAAAATCAGTGGATCTAAGTTCCACTGTATCCAATCAGAATTTAATCTTTTCTTGAAAAGTTCAATTTTCTAGTGAAATATAATTTTTTAATCTAAAATTATGTAGAATATTTCTTATTATTTTGTTTACTCTATATGTTTTCATATGTCTCAGGCAACAAGAATTTACGGCTGGGAGTCATACACATGAGGGGTGTTAATGATATGAATACTAAAGAAGTTAGTGAATATTTTAAGGATTATGGTCCATCTTCAGTTGAATGGATTAATGATACATCATGTAAGTGTATCATTATTATTTTATTTATTTTTGTGAAAACATATTTTTGTGTTTTCTTGTGTAATAATTGAGAATGTTTATAAATAAAAATTTCGAGATATAAATCATATGCTATTACCTTTTGAAATAAGGCTCTTAAAATAGTAAATTATGTTAGCATATTTTTTTTATTCAATTATTAATTTTAATTGAATACATATTTTATTTCGATATGTATTTTTTTCATTATAGTTATTGTTAAAGATGAACATTTATTTTTAATAAAATGAACCCTTTTCTGAAAGTTCTTTTTAGATGAATTATTCTAAAAAAAAATATTATTTAATTTTTTTCAAAATTAGAACAGTTTAAAGATGTAATATTACCAATCCAATAATAGTAATCCCATAACCTTTGACATGTTTGAATTCTTAGAAAGAAAACTACAGACCAGGATGTAAAGTAATCTGCTTTCCTAAAAAAATATTTTAAAATAAATTTGTGAAGAAAATTTATTTGCCTTTTTTAGATTATAAGTAACATAGTTTATACATACCAAGTTTATGTAGTTAATTGTAACTTACTAGATGCTATAACTTGTACCACAACAAGACTAAATTGATTTACTGTTTTTATGCATCATTTCTGTTAAATATTATGTTAAATGTGCACAAAGAATAAGATTTTAATTAATAATATAGAACAAGAAAACATACCAAATATAGTGTTAATTGCTTATAAGTTTTTAAAAAAATGGCATTATTTACATATATTTTGGCTAGAAAATTTTTATATTTCAACCACATTTTGACGGTAAGTACAAATTAAAGATATACTATCTTTCTTGTGCAACTAACTTTACATAATATTTTTATTTTTTTAAGTTTTTTTATTTATTTGTTTGGAAAAATCAAATGTTTACTTTCACTATTCAAAGTCTTTTTAAATTATTAAGCTCTTGATTAAATCTAATCACAATAATTTGATTTAAATTGTTGACACTGTGTTACAGAACTCTATTTTTCTCATTTTGCTGGAGAATGAATATTATTAATGTTATATAATATTTTTTTAGTATTATTATGAGAAAATTCAATCAAAACTTTTTTTTTTTAATTAAATATATCTATTAGAGGTCTCTCTTCAATTAAATATTTGTTTTCAGGTAATGTCTGCTGGTATGATGAAACAAGTGCAGCTAGAGCATTACTTGGAATGAGTCAGCCTTTTTTGATTAGACGTAAAAGTAAAAAAGAAGATGCAGTTCCAGGTACTAATCATAGTTTTACTCTTATAACTTTTCTTGCTATTAAATATTTATTTATTATTATTACTTTATTTGTATTTTAAAGTATTGGCTGTATGTACCTCACAGGAATTATAAGATGTCAGCATATAGCAATGCTTTTCCGTAGCAGGAGATAATTTTTACTTAAGTATTAAAATGCAAAGTGAAATATTTAAGTATATTGCATAAGTTTTTTATATTTCAAATAATAAAACAATCTGAATAACTATAACTTTACGAAAAATTCATGGACTAAATAAGTTCATCCACATGTGAAAATTATTGTTGGCAAAATTATTTTAAAAAAAGAAGGGTGTCAATGATGCAAAAAAAATTTTAAAAAAATNTTTTTTTTTTTTTTTTTTTTTTTTTTTTTTTTTTTTTTTTTTTTTTTTTTTTTTTGCTCATATCATTTTTGTCAGTGAGTTTTATGTCTGGTCATAGCTCGAAATACATGTTTATGAAAATGGACACAGCTCAAAATGCAGGTTTAAGAAAATAGACACAGCATAGTTATTGGCTTTGACATTATTTCAGTATATAGATCATAATATGTAAATATTATTTTATTAAATTCTTCAAAGCCATATAGCTAACTCACATTTTAATGCTGTTGCAATTTTGCTTTTTTCAATATTAAAACTAATAATTTTAAGACTATCAATTTAATTTCAAAAATAATTTTTTTTGAAAATTTCTTGCAACTCTTAATCTGTTGAACCTTAGGAAGCATTATATAAAATATTCTCTTTTTTTTGTTGATCAATGTAATGCTGTTGACTTGAACTCAAAAACAGTCTGTGAGATGCATTACACATCACCCAACCATAGCTAAGCACTTAGTGTTGTTTTTCAGTGCTCTATCTTTTAATGGCCATGGTAGGAATGCCATGTAATTTTAAGCCTGGTGTGTAGCGCCTGAGATACCTATCTCTAAGCTTCAAAAGCACAACCAATGAGAGAGAGCCGTGATGGCTAAGAGGATAGAGTGTTCGCCTTCCAACGAGGTGAACCGGGTTCGAATCCCAGCAATGACTGATCGATACGAATTCTGTATCTGTCTTGCTCCGACCACAGTGCTGACATAAAATATCCTCAATTGTAGGCGTATCATGGGTTAGAGTCCCCTTGACGTCAGGCTAACCGTGGGAGATTTCGTGGTTTTCCTCTCCATGTAACACAAATGTGGGCAACCAGCAATGTGAACGACTAATTAACTGCACCTTTCTAGCAGTATTTGTTAGACGTGTCAATTATTACAGTTCTGACATAGGAATAAAAGATAGTTTTTCGAAACTTGGTAATAAAATTATTTCTTATACAAACGCTTAATTTTTGGTATTTTTTCAATATACCATTATTTATAGTGGCTTTGCAATTGAGCGATAAACTTATTGTTCAGCCCTATTACCAATTTTTTTTAAGTTAATAAATTTGCATTTTAAAATTACAAGGAAGCATTATCCTTGCTTTTGTACTATAATAAATTTTTTATAATATCTGATTTACATTCTTTTAATTTATAATTATTTTTCAAAACCTTTACATTTTTATTAAAGATGAATTAGATAATGGGGAAATGAGTAAAGAAACTCCAGAGAATGAAACTGTAGAGATGAGTGAACCTGAAAATGGAGAAATTTCTGAGGCAAAAGAATCTGAACAAAATATTGAAGTAATTTATATTTATGAAGCTAAATACTTTTTTTTTTTAATTTTGAAATAATTCATATCTTTAAAAAGTATTTATGTATTTTATTTATAATTTTTTTTTTTTTTTTTTTTTTTTTTTTTTTTTTTTTTTTTTTTTTTTTNTTTTTTTGGTTTACGTAACACATTTTGGAAAGAAATGTTTTTTTTTTATAAAACAAGGTTATATAATATTCAGTAATAAGGCAGATTTCTTATGACTGATAATGCATCAATGAATTAGTTAAATATAGGTAAAAGCTCTTTTTATTATGCTAATTTTTTATTTCATTAAGGAAAAGCTTTAAAATAAACAAAAATTTAAAACAAAAATATATATATATATATATATAGCATCCAACCTGTACTATAAATGCTAAGACAGTAGTTTTTTTTATTGTTTCTGATAAATTATTTTTTGTTAAATTTTTTCTGATTCCACAAAATTCTACTACTTGGTGAAAGATTTTAACAATAAATGAATTTGTTCCATTTTTAAAAACTAACTGTATAAAATTCAAATGAAATTTAAAGATATTTTTTGACAATTAATTTTGATCTTTATTAATTTTGACATAAATAAATTGAAAAAAAAATCAAGCATAACTAAAATTTCAAATTTAGATCTTTGAACATATGTTAAAGGATAATTTTTACAATTATAATTTTTGATTAATGTTCATCTGTAGTGTAAAGTTCACTCCCATTATGAAGATATTTCTTTTTATTCTGTTTTTATTTATTTTTTTATTATTTTTATTTTTTTCATAATTTTAGTCTGAAGCAGATGTTGAAATGGAAGTTGACAAAAAGCCAGATGGTGAATCTGATGAAGACGTTAAAAATTTACCTCTTAATATTCCTGTCCCTCCTGGTTGCTGGAGATTAGGTATTCCACATACAAAAGCAAAAGCTATCTTACTTCGCTTTGCTACAAGAGGTAAGCACATCATTTATTATATAATATAAGCTAATTTACTTAATATAATATTTATTTAATGATTCATGTGTAGGAATATTTACGAAAATAAATCATTTTTGGTTATTAACTTCTTCCAGGCTCAAATTAAAAGTTGCTGCTTTTATGTGTATTATATGTCATGATTTTATAAACCATCTACATTATTTCCTAATATTATGTATATTACTATTATGTGTTTTCAGATGATAAAAAATTACCTGGTGCAGAAAAACGAAGCCAGTATTATATGAAATATGGAAATCCAAATTATGGAGGTAAAAACATAACTCTATTTTTATTTTGCACCATAAGATCCAATTAACTTATAACTTCTGAATATTTTATTTAAAACTCTTTTAAATTTAGTTAAGTGGGTATTCTAAAAAAAGCTATTATTGCAGCCCTCTATTTTTTGCTAATATAATGGTTTTTAAACATTTCAAAAGCACAGAATCGAAATTTAATTATATTTTTTTCGACATTTTTGCTGAACATTCCATCAATTTATATATTTTTTGGCTTGCACAATATTCATATTCTGATATTGCTTATTTAATATATTTAAGTTTAAATTTGACTAATATACAAGCAGAGCCACTTGTCATCTTAGATTATTGGTTTAAAACCATCGACTTTTTAACTGATAAAAAGCTAAAAATCACTTCACAATTTCATACCTAAATTTTAAATTCTATTCTTTAAGCATTAAATTTTTTGTTAAGCTTTTTTATAAATCAGAGTAAGCTCATGAATTTTAAATGAAATATCAATAAAATTTAATGACAAAGCTTTTGTACTTCAAGTTTTAAAAAATATGTTACCTAATTTATTTTTATTTCATCTTGGAGTAATTTTAATCAGTATAATAATTTTTTTTTTTTATTTACATTAATTGCCCCTTCTTTTTTTGTAGAGAATTTTAAATTCATTATGTTTTATATGCTTAATTAAAATAAAGTTAAGAACCTTTGAAGGCATTTTTTAAACTCTTTATAAAAGTTAATTAAATTTTTTTTAAATAAATTTCCTTGCCTTTTTTTAGAGTTGTAAAACCTTCTCATTTATTAAAGAATAAACTGTTTGTCCAAGTTTAGGATTTATTGATTACTATCTGTTTACATTTATTCCCTTTTTTCATATTAAACATTTCTTCGTGATATTTTATGTTGCTTTGTTCATTAGATATTGCTCGTGTTTATACCTTATTAATGTTCTCCCTTAATTAGACATTATTAATTTTCTTATTATTTATAACTTTTTCTCAATCTGTCCATTTTTTATGTATTTCACTTTACTGGTCAAAATTAATTATTTTCAAATTTTTTTTATGGACCCATCTTTTATTTTTTATGCATTTTGTTTTTATTTATGTTTTGCTTTAGGCTTAAGGGGTCTTATAAGTACTTCAAGAAAGCGCAAATTTCAAGTTGCACGAAATCGTCAAGTTGTGGAAAATTTTAGTGGTGATCCTGAAGAAGCAGCAGATCGTGAGCCTCATTTTTCTTCAGGTTAAAACTTTTTTTAATTAAATTTATTATTTATTTTTATTTTAATTAAAATTTCCTAATATCATCATTATTATTATTTTTATTATTAGTTAAATATAATAGTTTATCGATTTTTTTATTTTATTAAATATTTTTAATTTAATTTATTAATTTGGAATCAATTGAAAAAATAATCTGAATAAAGTGTTATAATAATCAAAGCTAAATTTGCTATAATACTATGTTACTAGTTTTTTAATAATTTAATTGGATATATATTTTACATTATCTTATTAGGTTGCATTTTAAATAACTTCTTCATTTTAATCATGTTTAAAAAAGCACGTTAAATTGAATATGAAGTGTAATTTATTTTATAAAATATTAGGCGATTGCTTCTCTCTTAGACTTGATTCTACTTATGATTCTTCTCGATTCTACTTATAATATGTTTTAAATGGTTAATTGCAAATTTTAATGCATTCAGAGTCATACCACTAATTATGTTTTCTTCAATAAATAAATTGTACGAGTAAAATTATTTTTTATAATTCATTTATGGTTTTAAAAAAACTTATCAATATTTTACTATTTTTCTATTGCAAAAAAAAAATTCTTTTCCTAATCATTTTAATTCAGTTTGTTATTTCTTAAATAGATAGTGGTTTTTAGAATTGGAATAATAAATGTAGAGTTTAAAATAGTGGTTTTAATTTTAAGATTTACTTTTATTTTTACATTCATTAATATACTATTCATTTGTTGTAAAATTGTAAGCTGTTAAAGTTGTTCAAATGTTGTTAGGAAGCTATTTTCCATTCTCTGAGTTGACTTTGTGTTTTAGAAAATACAAAAAAATTACCTATGAAGGGCTTTAATCGCATAAAAGTAAGTAACAATTAGGATTACCCTGTGATCCAAAAAAGAAGCCAACTCTGGGGTGCTATTTTCTCTTGGGGCATTATGAGTTTGTTAAATTCATTATTTCTCAACATGTTTATTTAACGTTATAAATGCAGAATTTATAAGCCCAGAACTTCAAGTTAATAGCCAATTTTTTACAGAAAGTAAAATTTTTAAAGCCCCACCCATCTACATATTAAAAAGATGGTCTTAAGACTCAAATTAATATTAGATAATAAATAAATTAATTTCTTTTTAAAAATTAACTTCAATTTAAAACATGTTTTAACTTATTGTTAAAAGAAATTATCCTTTAAAGGGATAAAATATTTAAATTTGTTATTTGATGAAGTCACATTTTATTTCAATTGTTTTGTTTTTTAACCTTTTTAATGTTCTTTATTTTCCTACTTTCAATTAGCATCTATAGACTCTCGAAAACGTTCAAAAGTTCCTCGTATGAAAATGTATGCTGATGAAGAAGAGGAGAAAAAAAGGAACAAACGATCACGTCCTGCACTGTGCGTATTTTTTTTTTATGCTTTTAATTCTATGGTTATTTAGAAAGCCTTTAAATACATTTTGCCAAAATGCTATTTTTCTTCTTTTTTTCAAATGTTCATAATAGCTTTTTTTTCTTTCATTTTTTATTTTTTCCAAAACTAAGTGTGTCTCTCTTGTCTTAGACGTTACATTAAATTATCGATATAAAAATTAATTTGAGTCTGCCATATATAATTCTTCTTGACCCTAAAGTCTAGAGCATGCAAGGGCCGTCCCATCAAGTTTTTTCCCCTTAGAGTCTGCCAGATGCATGATGTTTCCAATTAATCATCTTTAGTGTTTTCTAACCTTCCTCAGTGTCATCAAGCCATCTGACTGGAAGTCTTCCCCGTTTTCTAATACCACCTGGTGTGTTGAAGGCTTACAATTATGCAGGATTGCAATTCTCTGATCTAATTAAGTGTCCAAGAAATCTTATTCAGTTAGACCTAATGACTTTTGATGAATTTATAATTTAGATAAGCTCTCAGACAATAGCAGAATACCAAATATATACTTATACCAAACATTATTTTCGTGGACAGTATTTTTCTTTCAAAAATTTTAATAGTTTCGGATATGTTTACTCACTCTGAAACTTTTGTTGCCATAGGCCATAGAGGACTACTAGCCAGATTAGTATTTTATAAATGCTGATTTTCGTTCTATTACTTACTTGTCATGATCTTAGTATATCTTAAACTGAACTAGCATCCATTTGCCAGCATCAAGCTATAATAAATTTCAACTTTAATTTTTTTTCTTAGTGTTTACGCCTATTTAATTATTTCTTAATGTATTTTTTACCATGCAAGTTTAGCTATCAAAATAAATAATAAAATGAAGAGTAAAAGTTTGTAAAATTTCATTTTTAAGATTGGATATTATGGTTCGTTTCAGGAACACTAGAGATTCTAGAAATATCAAGAGCCGTTTGGGTCCTAGATATACCAAAGATGAGCTTATACAAATTGGACCTAAAAGATCTGATGATGAAGACGAAGACCTTGAGGAAGAAACATTCTCTGTCACTTGCAAGATTCCATCACGTTATAACATTTGGTCAGATCAAGCGAAAAAAATGGCTCAAGAAGAGGAAGAATTTGAGGAAAGAAAACCTTCAAAGTCTAAAGATACTTGGTCTAATCAATCTAAAGGAATAGATCGAGAAGAAGAAGAAGAAAGATCTTCAAAGTCTCGAGGTTATAATATTTGGTCTGATCAAGCTAGAAGAATGGCTCAAGAAGACGAGGAATTGGAAGAAGAAAGGTCTTCTAAGTTTCGAGGCTCTTCAAGATATTCAGTTCACGCACCTGAAAGATCTTCTTATGATCGAAGCCGTCGCAACAACTATGACTATTCTGGTGATTTAAGAGAGGCCCTTCGTAGCTCTAGTCAAAGACAGAAGGCACCAGAAAAAGATCTGCGTATGAGAATTGATAGATTAAAAGAAGATAATCCTCAGAAACATCGTTCACCTTTGTGCAGGGATAGCGATTAATTAACAATTTTTAAAAATTTTAGTTGTTTATTTTTAACTGCCTCAGCTATTATCTTACTTTACATTTTTCCAAATTCAGTTTCGCATGGTTTTAAATTAAAGCTACATTTATTGTATCTAAAACTTATTGCTAAGTTGAACCTTTGCCTTAAAACATTTATGGTCTTTTGCTGTAAGTCTGCCTTATTGTACTTCAAGCCGCCTTGCTTTCACTTGACGTAATCTTAAAATTTTATTTTTAGTTTAATATAAAATGCATTTGATAAGTTAGAATTGCATATGCCTTAGAATAGCTGTTCTCTGGGGTTACGACAGTTAGGACTTTTTTTTACAAGTTATGATTTTCGAAGTGTGTAATTATATTTATATCTAATGAATTATCCATTATTTATTGAATATTTCCTTTATTTGAAAGAACTTTTTTAATTGAGATGCTTACGAAGGAAGAAATGTTAAATTAAAAAACAATCGTTTTTCGAAAACAAATATTGTTTAATGAAAAGAATACGTGTTTATGAATAATTGCATTAATATTCACATCGAATTAACAACTTCAAGTATGTTTCCCTGATAACCATTCTCAACATTTATTTTCATCCTTTTTCATTTTTATTTCAACAGAAACCATATTTCATTTCATTCGTTATCAGTTTTCCCCAAATTCAGAACTAGACAAGATGGTGCCCTGCACCTGTGAATTCAACTATCTGACGTAAAATAAAATTTTAAGACTATAAATAAAATAATAGGTTAAAAAATTTTTTACTTTTCATTCTTTCACTGAATAATTTAAAACAAATTAATGCAATTTTAATCATTGAATATTTTCAAAATGATTACTAGTTTTCATTGGCTTATATGTTCACACTTGCTAATAATAATATATGTTGCTGTAATTATGTTTTACATAATTTTTAAAGGCTTTTGGAATTTTTATTTAAATCTTTTAATGAGGGTTGTTACCAGCTACCATTTAAGACCTTATCTAGTAAGCCTTACCTAGTTATGACATATTAGCCTCAGAAACATATAGTAGAGATAGTGATTAGTACATTTTTAAAGTTTTTTTCTGTTTTGTCATTAATTTGAATCAATTATGTCTGAAAGTTGATGTCTTTCACTTACAGTTCTATAATTTTGAATTAAAACTGTACTAATTATATTCTATTTTAAACTATGATATGCAGTTTAGTTAGCGCTCAAATTTTGTTTTCCATGCATGCTTATTCAATGCTATAAACAAATTTTACTTTTTTTTTGTGCAAACCAACAGTTTTATGTTTTGTAGTTATACGTTTGGGTGTCAATAAATAAAAAAATACACTCATTCACAAATGACAAGTTTACTTGACTTACACAAGTGACTTATTTACTGTATTTATTGTTTTATCATTTGAAATGAATTGAGATGTATTTAGTAACCTAAAACCACTCACAATTGTTTAAATTGTACGAAGATTTTATTTTTATATAAAATAATATTTATTATAGCTGTATAAGTTACATTTATAATTCAAATTATTGATTTGCCTTTTAAATTAAGTACATTTTTATTTTAAAACAACGAATTAAATTTTGGTGTATTGCAATGAATTCCTTTTAATAATTAATAATTTTACAAATGTTACTTTGTCTTATACATTGAAAATTTATATGTATGACGTATTGTGTAGTATAGTTTTTTTCATCCAGTAAATTTTAGATATTTTCTATTTATTGTGATAGTATTTAAATTTCTGGTATTTAATTTTTCAATGTTATGTTGATATTTGTTTGTTTGAATAAAAAATGTACTTTGATTCAGTTTTAAAATTTATCTTTTAAATATAATTGCCTGTATTTTGATGACTGTACAAAAAAAAATGTTCTGCTTTTACTTGTTAATAACACAACAGTAATTATTTAAAAAGAAGTCTTGTTCAATAGCTTTAAAAAAGAGATTTAAATAAAATCTCTGCAAGTTGAAAAAAATTTAATTTTTAAAAATATAAATACTGTATCCGGCTTTGTTTTATAATATCATGACATACAGCTTCAATTGTAATTTATAAATCAAATTTTGTAGTTTATTTTTTCTTTGAACACACATACTAAGATATTTTCTGTTTTATTTAATTTCATTTTGTGATCGAATAATAAAGTATCTGTGGCTTGTTTTTAGTTATAGAATTAAGGTTAACTTTTATTGAAATAATTTTAATTTTTTGCTTTATTTCTTAAATCTTATTTTAAGTTTTATTATTATTATATATGTCTTTATATATGTATCATGACTTTCATTTGGGAAAAAAAAATTATTAAACTATGCAATGAACTCACCTGAAACTGATTTTATCAAATCCAGCTATTGTACAAATGTGTATGACAAATTTTGCTGGGTTTTATCTTTTCCTCAAATGAACTTTATACATATACATATTTTTAAGTTCAATGTAAGAGCAACCTATTTTATTAAGACCCAGTAAACTCATGACTGTATTAACCTTTATATAATCGTTTCATTCCATGTAATTATTTCATACTTTATTGCATTTGAAAAAACTATGCAGTTTATCTATTTGTGATAATACAACAACAAAATCATCATATATTGACTACATTTTATATGAATGTTTCATTTTTAAAGTGCATTCTCATTTTGTGGGAATGTTTAGTATTTAGTGTTCTCATTTTATGAGAATGTTCCATATTCAAGTGCATACTAAAAAAGTAAAACTATGCAATTTACCAATCTACAGATATGCAATTTATCGATATATATATATCATCTTCAATCAGTCTATTCTATGCAAGAAAGATTTATTGTGTTGTTAGTTTGCTCTTGTAACTTAGGAAATAAAATATTTGTTTACAAAAAAATGTGAAAATTCTTGTCATTATTCACTTGAAAGTTAATAAAAAATAAAAATCTTAACCACTATATGTATAAAACCATCAATCTATTTTTTAGAAACCTGTTTTAAATTAATATAGTAGAATTTTAAGAATAAAAAAACTGTTTTTTTGTTTTCACAGAATAAATGAAAGTAAAAGCATAATTATTTTAAAAAATTTCCTTACTTTAAAATTAGTTTTTCATTGTTTAATAGTCGGTAAAATATTTAAATCATAGTTGTCAGTAACACCTCCAGGAAAGACCATCTTTATGTAACGACCTTCTCTATTTACGACCACTTTTGAGAGGCTCAGAATTTTTTCCATAGACATTATGTTGAAGAAAACCTTTAGGAGAGACCATCAAAACCGCTCTCAGCGACCGGGCAGTCTTTCGCACCAAATGCAGAAAAGGTCAAATAAGGAAACCTTAAAAAATATCAAAACAAAAAATGTTAATAAAACAAATTAGTAGATTAAAATGTATTCAAAATATTTGTGTGAGGCTATTATTTCGAAAGCTCTTTTTGGTGTCCGTTAAGGAGATCTGCAACCTCGTGATGCAGTCAATGATTAATTTTTTAGATAAAAGTTAAGTCAGAAAAAAAAAAATTTGATAAGAACCTAAGCATCTCGAACAAACAGGCTTTAAAGCTAACTAATTTTTATGATATAAAATTAAATACAAACTTAAACAAAAAACATTCTTTATTTATTTAAAATAGTCTTATAACCGTCGTTGAATAATTCTAAATTCTTCCGTTAAAATAGTTCTATAATTTTTATAACAGCTGACCCAATTTTGGGTTTACGACTACCAATGTTCAACTCCTCACCCTTGTAATTTTTAAGCCAATCCAGAAAGCAAGGGAACTCCTATATCGAGTATTGGGAGAAATTTGCCTTTGTGGAGGATTTTTCGATGGAGCTAACCCGCATTTACGTTACATGGAGGGGAAGATCACGAGAACCTCCCACGGTTAGCCTGTCGGCAAGGGGATCTAACCCATGATCCGTCTACCACTGAGGATATTTCACGTCATCACTGTGGTNATTCTATACTACTATTAATGTCTGATAATTTCTTTTTATGTTGTTTAATACCTTACTATGTACGGTTAGCGTGTCGGCAAGGGGACTCTAACCCACGATCCGTCTACCACTGAGGATATTTCACGTCATCACTGTGCAAGCCGGATGCGGAATTCGTATCGACTGGGATCGAACCCCGGTTCACCTCATTGGAAGGTGAACGCACTGTCTCCTGAGCCATCGCGGCTCTGGAGCAAGTATTTGGAGAAATTGGCCTTCATGAAGGACTTTTTGAGGAAACTAACCTGCTTTTGCATTACATTGAGAGAAAACCCTGCCACAGTTAGCCTGACGGCGAAAGGACTCTGCATGAGCCGTCTACTATTGAGGATATTTTCCGTTAGTACTGTCATCGGTTGGAGCCGGGTGCGAAATTAGCATCGACCAGCCATCGCTGGGGTTTGAACCCGGTTCACCTCATTGTGAGGCAACGACTATATTCCCTTAGTCACCTATCTTTGGTAATTTTTTTTACACATAATTATATCAGCAAAGATTATTTTTATTTGACTCTAAATTTTATACATCGATCCGTGTTTTCATGACGTCAACAGCAGTGGCAATTCCACTCCAAGAAAATGACGCTGACTAAAATTAAAATTGCTTGCGAAAAATCATATCTTGGATAACAATTTTGAAGTCAATAGACGCCTCCATTAACGATCATTTTACTGTAGAACAGAGAGATTACATTGTTATTATTAATACAAGTATGTTAAAATAATGTTTTTTGCACTTTAAGTATAAACATATTTTTATAACTATCGGGAAAATGGCAGACTTCTACATAGCAATAAATAATATCCACTGTAGAACATCGAATTCAGAAATATAAGGAAATTTAAAGGAATGAGATCCTTCATTTATTAATTTTTATTATGCCTAAACTATGGGCATTTGGCGATATTAAACAAATGTTTAGGTGCGTTGTGTACGGTGATTGTATTTTATGGAAGTGCCTTTAATACTAAGTGTTGATTTTTCATTGTAAGAATGCGCTGTTGTAAAATAAATTACTGAACTTAGTTTTGGTAAATTGGCCTTACAAAAAAAGGTTATTTTTATCTTCTTTTTTTTAAAAATTACTTTATAATTTTTTTTATTATTGTTATTATTATTGACGATCGCAACACTCGAATACGCCATTTGGGGAGAAACCGCTTTCATGCCTTTGGCCCTTCTCCCTTCCCTCTCCTCCTCTTTTCAGTTGTATAGGAATGTACTGCGATATTTTCCCCTTTTTAAATAATTTTCGTATTTAATTGTCAAAAACGTTTTTTAAAATCCCCACACCACTTTCTTTTAAAAGTAAGTTCAATGTAGTTTCCATTTCCGCGTAGTTTCCTAACTTAAAAGCTTTTAATCAGTTTGAAAATCAAGACAGGAACTAACATTTTTCTGTCATCTATGGCTCCGCTAATGATGAAAGCCTTAATGTTGCCATAGGTAAAGAGGTTTGCTGTGCGCCTTCTGCAATCCTTATCCATCGCCAATTAGAGGAAAGGAAACAGTTGCAGTTCATTTACATCGCACTAGAGCTGCACAATGGGCTATTGGCGGCGGTTTGGGAAACACCCCTAAAGATGATCCGAAGACATGCCATCACAATTTTGATCCTCTGCAGAGGGGATGACACCCCCGCTTCGGTAGCCCAACGACCTGCATGCGAAGCCGAGCACTTTACGGTAGCACAGTTCAACGAGGACCAATACCGCACACCCTCGGTCCCTGCGCAGACTGATCCAAGTGGTCACCCACCCGCACACTGACCGCAGCCAGTGATGCTTGACTTCGGTGATCTGCTGGGAACCGTGTCTTAAGGATCAGTCCACTGCGGGACCA